AGTTGGTCACCAGTAGTCTATAACTAATGATCTGAAGTGGAACAAACTGGTAGTCTACAGGAGAAGTATATTGAAATGTTATCAGCATGCAAGAAGTATTAAAAGTTTGTCCAGCTCCTAGGAAATATGGCAATAAAGCAGCCATAACCAATGTTTGCTGACTTTCTTGCGGTAGCATTAAATTATGATGTGCTCGCATATCTTCTGAAAATGTCATGACTCACATGGCAGCAAAGTTTTTTTTTTTCCTGCAAACTGAAGGCTGTGGTTCTGGAAAACAATTCTAAATCTGTAATCCAAACAAATTTTCTTGTCTGGGAAATCACCTTTTTTTTTTTTTTTTAACTAAACCAAGTAAAATATTGGTCTCGAATATATGTCACACGACTTTGAAGGTCTGTATTATGTTCAAATGAATAAGGCAATTTTTTAAGCCAGAAAAAATAACTGTGTAGTCTTAAGCAAAATATAAGTCTTTTTGTTTAAATGGGGTACTCTGTTCTGGAGAGAGGAAGGAAAGGGAGAGGTCTTTCTTCTTTTCCATATTTAAAGCCCTACGATTTTTCAACTTAAAGGCAAAGACAAAATTAAGAGTTTGGTAAAACATGTTCATCAAAGGTGTACTTCAAAGTAACTAAAACAAAGCTGCTGGTCATGCGCCTTTCTTTGCGAATCCTTCATAGTTCTGTCTGATCTTTAATTCTTGCTTCTAAAAAGCAATCTGGTTAAGATTGAGATTGATTAAAAAATCTGTATTACTCTTATTTAGCAGACTTCAACTGCAGAGATACAAATTGGGCCCATGAGACTGACACAAGATCCTATTCAGGTAAGATATTCTTTTAGTTTCTTGATACAATCAATTTAGTTTTAATGGGTGAAGAAATTAAGGTTCAACCATTGTAGTTAAGCATAATGTTTTCATTTTACTTGTGCAAGGACTGTGAGATGGATAATTGGTATTTTAGTTTATCTAATTGCCTGAGAAGAGACCTACAGGTAAAGTAAATTGGTAAACAAGGTGCTCAGATTTCTGCTAACATAAAATCATTCCTTTTATCTGTCCTGTCAGTAGGAATGTGTGTGCAGTAGCAAGAAAAAAGCTGCTTCTCTGAATGTTAAAACTGTTTAGTTCTAATACACCATAGCAGAGGACTGCGTTGTGAAGTCTAGGTATCAGGTGAGTTTTGCTGAAGGACTATGCAACGGGACAGAGAACTGAGCTTTGAAAGATCACAAGTACAAAAAAATAAGATGAATTCCAGCAAGAAATGTTGAATTTTGGCTTAACGTGCAACAGCTTTTACACATCTTTGCTGCTGTTTCTGTACTTACTCTTTCTGTGCCAGTACACAGATGCTAAGAGGTTTTTTTTTTCTTTTTTTGCTTATAGTGTTGTGTTTTAGAGCTCTCAGATGATAGGAACTGATACCATCTTAGTCTTTAACATTGCTTCTGTGATGCAGTGGTCATCTGAACTAACTTTTTGTCTTGAGTCACTTAACTCTGTAAAATACAGAGATATTTAGTCAGTAATTAGTCAGCTTTTCTGCCCCCCCCCACCCCCCACCTTTTCTAACTGTGGGAAGCAAAGCCTACATGTGGGAGAACTGCTTTTCTCAAGGAAAATAAATTATGTATATGTGCATCATAAAGCTTTAAATTTTTATTTCTGTATTAAGTATCCAGTCTCAGTAATAACTTCAACTAATGAAACAGTGTATTTATGTTATTTTCTTGTGGAAGGGTAGCTTCAGCAGGGGGGCTTTTGTAAGGAATTTTAACATAAACGTGTGGAACTTTTCATGGAAAACATGTTCTTTGAGCTGTGTTAGTCTTAAGTAAGATGGTCAAGAAAATATTTAACAAGTAAGAATTCTCTCAATGTTTATGTCAGCATTCCCCTTGATGTGCTTTGTAGAAACTGTATTAGTCAAAATACCGTAATATCAGTGTTAGCTGTTATGATATAATTTAAGTGAACATGTACCATGTAAGAAGAGAAAGTGTTTGACTTTTTTGTTCAAAAAAGCTTTTGACATTTTTCTTCTTGGCATCTAGTCAGGTATGGGCAGTATTTTTGTCCCTACGTTATTTAAGAATCTCTGGTGCTATAGAAAGCAGACCTTAAGTACAACCATTAAGACTTTTTCATAAAGCTATTGCCATACACTAACTTATTTACAGTAAAAGGAAAACACTTTATGTAAACACTTTTTGTTGTTGTGGAACAAATCACATTACCTCAACTAATCTGGCAAGTATTGCACACATCCACTCATTTAAAAACATATGCATTAATCTTTTATTCTATCTTGACAATAGAGTTGCATATTTCTCTATGCAGTGCAAACAGCTACTGAATACCATGTTTTAAATGTCTGTTTGTTGGTGCTTAATTGTATCCGTAATTGCCCGATAAGTTAATTTTCACTGATTTTCTTAATGATGTTTGTTTTATTCTGGTGCATGTTTTAAACTATTGTTTGCCATCAGAACACCTACGCCAAGCTGGAAATAGACTATATTTTTTGCTTGAGAGGTGACCTTCGTTGTGGCTATGACCTACCATAAACCATGTCATAGATTCCTCACTAGGCTTTATGACCATCTATGTCTAGAGGACAAATCTATTTTGGTTTGTACTAGATCATGACTCAGGCACCCTAGACCTGCAAAGGAAAGGGCGAGGGGAAGTGTCTGAAGAAAACCTACCAACTCTTTCCATCCAAAAGCCCTCCCATCCTGTTTCTCATACATGTAGCTTATGTGTGTCTACCCAAATGTTGTGCTCTAGCTGGCAAATAGGCATGGATTAGTTTCCAGACCTTAGAAATGACCCTGAAAAAAGTGTATGTAAACGTGCTGTTTCTCCAGAGGACATAGGAGAAAACTGTTTCATAGTCATTTAGTACACACAAAAAGCTATCTTATCCCTTTGCAGAACTATTTATTAGGGCTGACAAAGATTTGGATGTGGTGCTTATATATAAGATTTTTGAGCTAGCACCATAGGTGATTAGAAGATCAGAAGAAGAGGTTAAAACAGGTCAGATGGTAATCTGGGAAAATCACTGGATATTGTTAATCTTGGAGTTTCTCTTGGATTTTGCCCTTTGATAGAAGATGGTTTTTGATGGCCAAAGAGCTGACTTGCTTCAAGTCTCATTCATGCTTGCCGTTGAACTGATCGAAGTCAAACCTTTTATGCAGCTGATTAATGTGAGCTTAATTTGTGGGACTGGACCACAGATAAAATCCATTTTCCGTTTCTGCGGAGTACCTTGCAAAACAAGAGGCCAAACTCCATCTGCAACCATTAATAACTGTTAAACTAAAGCCAGAGAGTGAGTGACAGGCTATAATGTGACAACATATAAACCAGATATTTTTTAAAGCAATAACCGATGGAAACATTATTGCACAGTTTTAATTCTAAGTTTTATTAGATTGAAACCATGCATGTACTGGTAATTTCCCTAATGACCAAAGGGTTAGAGGTTTGGAGTGGGATGGAGAGAATGGTGGGGCAAGCATTTGAGGTGAAGTTTGGCATCATCTGCTTAGAACTTTTCGTATAGAAGAATTGATCCTGGTTGTGTACTATTAGGGTTACCGTGGTGCTGATCCTGCTGCGTTCACGGATTTAACAAGGAAACTGACACTTTTTTTTTTTTTTTTTTCAATCACAGTCCTTGTTTTGCATATTAGTAACTGCATTCTCTCTTTTTTGATCTTAGCACATACAACTTCCTTTCTTTCAGAAAACTGCTGCACAGTTTTTCTGGCATCTATGTTCCTTTCTTTACCACATAATCTTGTCCCCCATTCAGATAACACATTCCCCTCTTAAAGCCTTTGTTGCTCATCACATCTTTTACAGCATTAACATCAAACTCCGTTTCTGTTCTGCTAATGATTTTCTCTCCTGCTGACCTGTGACTGAAGCATTTGTATGATGCCCAACATGTAACGATTCTTGCATGCCAATTTTAGGTGTAACAGGAGCTCCCTCTTAACTAATTCAAAGTCACTGCATGTTTCCTACCTTTAAAATTCTTTTGCTGTGATACCTGCAAGAACATAAAAATAATTAGGTGACGTGTGCTATGACTTCTTAAGTTACTGTTTGTAACATTCTCATTGTTTCCTTGTGGTATTCTGTGTGTCTTTTGTTTAATTTTGAGATCTTTGAGACAGATCTGTCCATTTTCTGTATTTGTATGATAAGCTGGGGCCAAGACATGCAATAGCTGTGCAGCACAAATGCTCAAAAAGATGGTAAGAATGCCAGTGCATCACCAAAAATGTGAATTATCTCAGCAGGAGAAGTCTGCACTGCTCCTAGCTAAGCAAAATGATCAATTTACAGTAAAAATGAATAATTATGTATGAAAAAAATCCTTCACTGAAACATACGTTGAGTTCAAGCTTTTCCTCAACAGTGTGGTTCATACAGGTTGATAAATGTTTACCTTTATTTTGAGAACATATCTTGCAATATTCCTGCGTAGTTCTAGTTAGTCTGTTTTAATAGTTTACAGTAAGCTTCATACAATTTTTAATGAGAAAGCATGGTAGTAATTCTTTAAGGGTACCTTTTAAAGTTAATATTCTCAGAAGGATTCACACACTTATAATTAGCTACGAGTGGGGGATTGGGGAGTTTAATTATGCTTCAGCATTTTGCAGCTAGTAAATGATTGAATTTTGCAATCTTTTATTTCCAAAATGGGGATGTCAAGAGAAGGAAAAAGACAAAAAAAAATGCACCATGAAAAACCTGTTTGCTGACTACATTGTACTGATCAAACTAGGAACAAAATAAAACTCATAGCAGTTGGAACCAAACAAGATTGTATCAGAGTAGGGACTTGACCCGAGTATCTGCAGAGAGAGGTCTACAGCTTAACCATGTAACTGCTTTCAGAGACTCTGAGAGTTGTAAATAAGTAAGGGATTGAGTAGAGTGACAACTGTTACCTTGGATGCTAAATGACAGTAATACAAATCTGCTTATTGTTAACTACGCTTAAAAATACTCTTCCTAATTAAATACTCTTTCTAAATTAAAACTTCTAGATGTATTTTTTAATATTTATTGGAATTCTTAGCACATAACTTTCTCTGCAGTTTAAGGAAACCTTGAATGATAGTGCTGCCACAGTAACATTGATTGTTTTGTTTATTGTTAAGAATTCAGCAATCCAGACAGCTCAAGATAAGAGAAAAGTTATGGTCACCTTGTCTAGCTTCTAGGCTGATGGTGTTGAATTTCACATGGTGACACCACAGCTACACAGAGTAGCACTGATAAAAGGATGTTGACCTTTCTCATGGGCGTTTTGGGCAAAATATTGCATACTTTGCTCAGGCAGATCATTTCAGCGAAGTTAGGGATAAATTTTATGTGCAAAATGAACAGGATTTTGCTTTACGCATAGATAATTCTCAATCTGCTGCTTTTCTGTGCAATTTGAGTAGCTGTGGATAAACTTTTGACTTCTTGAGGCCTTTCTTTTTCACAGCACATTTGTGCTATATTAACCTTTTTCTGTAGCGCAGGGCAGCATGGTTGGTGACCAGCTGCTGAGGTAAATATGTGCAAATTGTAAAGAGGAGTGTGTACGTGACTTTTGTTGCTAACTGTATAATTTATACACTGATAATAAGAATTATAGGGCAAGACTGAAAACTCTTTCCTTCTAAAAATGCATTTTTGTTTTAAAAAATAAGAAGTCTGCAATTATGGCTGTGTTCAGCCTACAGTCTGTATGTCAGTTAGCAAACAGACTTCCTACAGTATCAATTTGCTTTTTAGAACAGCATCTCAGCAAGCATCCTAGCTGACGTTCCGTTTGCTTGTGAGCAGTTCCTTAAGTGTTCAGCTGATGTTGGTAAAACTACTACATATAGTTACATAATTTAGGAAAAGTTGTTGGGCAAAAACTGTGATGTTTGGATCAGGGTTTTCTCCCCACCTGGCTCTGTCCATACCTGCCTATCTGTTGTTGTTGTTTTTTTGTTTTGAAAGAATATGACTTAGCTCCATTTTGCTGTACATCAAAGGAGAAATAGTGAATAAAACCATGTTACGTTAATTGTTTGTCCCTGAGGAGTGATAAGTAAGGCAGTGACATTTCAGACAGTTTCTCACAATTAAAGATGTGTGTAGCTGGGATGGCCTAATGAGAGCGGTAGTGCTTTTGAACATTTCCTCCTGTCTACCTTGGGTGGCTCGTGACTGAATTTGAACACGAGTTGGAAGAGACTCGGTTATCATCTGGAAGCTGTTTGTGTGGTCTCAGTTCTAATGGATATTACCTCTGTGACAAAATCTTCCTTAATAGTGGAAGTGTTCCTGAAGCTGTGATGCTCAAAGAATGAGCAAGGCAAGGTAACCTCTCATCACCGAGGCTAACTGCAGGCACATTTACATCCAGAACAAACACAGCGAATTTGAAAGCAGTAAATATCAAGCCTACAAAATTAATGCTCTCTTCATAGATATAATGATAATAAAGTCATACTACTACATCAGCTGTTTTTAACTCTGTAGTCTAATCTTTCTGCTTTCAAAATACTCGATCCTTCATATAGTAGAAGTGTGTTTGTCACTGTTAAGATTTGCACCATGCAGAGAACTATTTTGTATGTTTAAGATGGTACTCTGTTTTGCATACTTTGCAGGTTTTGCTGATCTTTGCAAAAGAAGACAACCAGAGTGATGGTTTCTGGTGGGCTTGTGACAGAGCTGGATACAGGTGCAATATTGCCCGGACACCAGAGTCAGCACTTGAATGTTTTCTTGATAAGCACCAGGAAATAATTGTTATAGATCACAGGAACTCCAGATATTTTGATGCAGAAGCTATCTGCAGGTAACCTAATGGACCTTCTACTTCTCTTGAATGTCATAATATATTGTACAAAGCCCCTAACTGTACAAAAAGAAGCTTTAAAGCCAAAAAAACTGTAGTAAACTGGAAGTTTGGAGATTGCAGCCAGGAGGTTTGCAAAGCTTTATCACTGAGAGGAAGGATAAAAACTGTTGTGGGGACTCATAAAGTGAGGGGGAAAAAAAAGATAGATTAAATTTATCATATACATACATCTGGAAGAGGAATAAAAATTGAAAAATATACTTTTGGCAACGCTGGCATTTGACTTGTGGAATTATCTCTTTTGGTCTTACACTGCAATGGAAGTCCAAGTCAGCTGTTATGAAATCATTCCATGCAGTCTGTGTCTGTTACAGAAACTTCTATCTTGGGTTACTGCTGCAGCAAAACGTGAAGTTGCAGAGCCTCAAAAGAATGCTGGACTTCCATTGCAGTGTAAGTCAGCTGTTATGAAATCATTCATAATCTGCATGAATGATTCTTCAATCTGCAACCTGAAGTTGCAGAGCCTCAAAAGAATGCTATTATTTGTCCTCTAGATCAGGCACCCTTCACTGAGAACACTTCTTTTTGCAAAAGTTTGCATCACTTTTTGATGCCCATGACTGTCTCAATAGCTCTAAGTTCGTAGGCACTTAGTATTAACGTTCTGTGCTAAGATACACTTCATAAGCTGAAGCATATATTTTGTACCATATAGTGTGCTGTGCTTTCCATGAGCACAATTTTGTCAAGTTTATGACAAGGAGTATTTTAAAACTCAAATATTTGTACTGGTGGAAGTACTTCTAAAAGACTGACAAATAAATATATTTAAGGACTCTTTATTCAGGAGAATGTGACATGTTTGAAAAAAAATTATCCTTTACCACTGAAGGATGAATAGAATATTCTTCTGTATATGATAATTGGTCATATTTTCTTTCAGTTCCTTGGTAAGATCTCTGTCTCTTTAACTGTGGTAAAGTTCTGCTTATTTTTCATTTCATAAATGATAGCCTATCATAGAGAAGTACTCATTCTTTTGCTGTAGCCTCTTTTCTTACGTGCATGCCCCAAAAGCACTTCCTACCCTTGAAAGAAAATTTTACAGTATCTAGAAGGGCAAGGATAATGGTGGGAGATGGTGATGGAGAGATTTTAGGGTAAATCAAGTAATGTGTATTGAAAATATGCTGTAGAGACTGACACTTCTCAAGCCATGTGTTTAGGGCAGCCTGCTCCAAATGAGCTGGGTGAAAAGAGCAAACCTTTACTAGGTTGGGAGAGTGTATTTGAAGAGTTACTGTTCATGTCCTTTGTGTTTGAATCTTATTGCTTCCATATCCTCTTTGTGGTGCAAAAATGGAGAGTGTGATAGCAAAATGGAAACTTGAGTATCTAAGAGGGGTAGGTAGGTTTTGGCAGTATGACATGCTATTTTCTCAATTCAGTGGAATCTTTCAGGCTTGGTTTTCTTTTATATTGTCTGTGAAGACATGATAAGTAACATTGAGAAAGTATGTGACACAGCTGAGGAATTTTTCTTCTCTAGGTCTATCCGTGCCACAAAGCCATCAGAACACACTGTAATACTTGCTGTGGTTCCACGCACGTAAGATTTCTCTTAGTGAAAGATTTTTATTTCTAGAAAAATGTAATGTCTTATAGTTGTCTAATAGCAAGCTTTGTCTAATAACAAGTTATCTATTAGCAAGCTTTACAGAGTAAGTTTAATATTAGTTATTTTTACCTGAAATAGTTAAGAGTTGTTGCATATGGCCTATTTAAATACTCGATAACTTTCCATTAACGGAGAATAAAACTATCCCTACCAGCTTTTTTTCAGAGGATCATATTATAATGCCTTATATACTAAGAAAACTTAGAAAACTGTGTGTTAGTTTCTAAGGGAAATACTAGATGTCGTGTTGTGGTTCTTAGGGAACTGGGTAATGGGATAAACTTAATTTCTGTTGATACTAAACTGACTAGAATGTTTCCTGAAATCCATTCAGGAATACATACCCTGTATAGTCGGGCAAAATTCTTACTGATTTAAATGAATATGTTGTTTATCAAATGCCTTAGAGAAAGGGAATTTTCCTGTCTTTGTTAAAACTCCTCCACACTGCTGAAAACATTCTCATTTTGTTAATTTCCTAACTCAATAAAATATTAGCAAATTGACTGGAAGGACAAGAACTATTTCTGACGAGATTAGCGTATAGAGATCAAGTTTGGTGCTAATTAAGGCTTTGCAATTTGTTTCGTCTTTTACTTAGTAACACCTTCTTCGATCCTTTCTCATAGGATGTCACAGAATGTCTTTTATCCCCCTCAGGCTTTGTTTTTCTGATGTTCTTGCATGTCTGTGAAGAGAGACAGGACTTCTCTTGAATACCTATGAGTTTTGCGATAGGAATAATCAACAGATTGTAATGATAGTTACATATACCTAGAAAGGAAGGCTGTAGCGTCTTGAAATATATTGACAAGGTCAACTTCTGGAATTGTGTGATTTGTATATGTATTTTGTGCAGTATTGTTCTCACTGCAATATGTTTAGCTAACTATGTCAAGTTGATACCAAATGTTATGTGATCATATATTTTCTTTTGTAGATCTTCTGACCAAGAAGAGGCTTCTGTTCTTCCCCTTCTTCATGCAGGCTTTGACAGGGTATGTATAAAACACATATTTAAGTATAATAACCATGATTGCTGTGGAAGTTACAAACACTTCCACTTCTTCCGCTTTTTCGAATGGAAAATGAATCCTTCATGTAAATCACACATTTGCTTCTATCAGAAGTGTTATTTTTTGGACGGGAAAACAGTGGCAGTTATTGAGTACTCTTTCTTGTTTTTAACAAAACATCTGAGAAACATATGGCATAAGAGGATC